ACGGAACTGTTACTTTGTCTATCATCTGCCGTCGATCCATCGATCGATCTGTCTATTGTCGCTCTCAATACGTATCGCAACATTCCACTAACTGATACCCCGGGCAACGAAACATGCCCAACCGCCCGAGGCCGCCTTCGGAGTCTGGTTCTTCACCTTACCTGAAGACAAAGGTTGAACTGGAAGGGTTAGAGCTTCAGGTCGTGTCGAAGATGCCGGGGAGACACTGGCGGCCAAGGATTCGGAGCCTAACCTACCTCTTGCTGTTGCTTTCAACTTCCCCCCAGTCTACGACTCAAGGAACCATGGCTGTCGGGTCACTAGTGCGGACTAGTGCCGTGTCGACCCTAGATTGCCATGGGTCAACGTACATGTGTCCACACTTACAGACCGCACCCAACGGCGCAGCCCTTCCTTCCCACAAGGCATCATGGGGGAGAAGCGGTGGCAAGCCGACTTAGGCTGGAACTCGACACGGCGGCACAGGCTTGAAACCCTATCCATCAAAAGCAGAGAAATATGAGACCCCGAACGATGTCGACAACAACCCTCAGTGCTACCAAGTGCAGACGAAGTTCCGGCACGTGCCAAACTGCCGTGCACCTTCCCCATGATGTTCACGAAGCCGTCCGGTAGCTGGGGGTTGTGAAGCTTTGCTGACACCGCTTGAGCCACAAGTCGCCGGTGCAATCTCCAGGACGGCTAAGGAGACCAGAGACTGTAGATTGATAGGAGCCTACATCCCCGACATCTTCAACTTTCAGCCGGTGTCTCGCAGCTATGGCTTCTGGGCACCATGGTTGCTAAACCGTTCTTCAGTTCGGCCCAACGGTCTCGAAGTCCGAACATTCTCCAACGGCTTTTTCAAGTGTTATTCTTATTTAGTCTTGTGGGCGCACCAAGCGATGAAGCATTCGAGGAGATCGGCCTGCCGCTGGAAATAACCCAGATGCCAGTCTTTGGGGCTCTAGTGGGCTTCAGTTAGCTGAATAGCGGCTTATGGGCTACTGGGATACATCATACACGGTTGGTAGCCTACTTTTTCGTCAGCTGGAGCCCTAGGGTTTCGCTCGGGCTATAATCACACAAAGTATCCGTAGAGACTTTAGTGCACGACGCTCTGCACATGGCTGACTAGCCTCCATGAGTTGAGGTTGAGAGCACTGTTGGTTGCTGTTTCTGCCATTGTAACGACACCGCTTGAGACCTCATGTCATCTCTCACTCTTGCACCGGCCAGACAGCTCCACAAGTCCTCTACCAGAAAAGGCACCGAATGCTGTGTCCGAAATATCCATGGCCTACAAACCTCAAGACCGCCCGCATCTTGCAGCCCAGGAAATCATGAACAAGCTTGTGCCCACAACCCGATTAAGTAGAAGCCGAAAACCTCAACCCCCAAAGCGTGAGGGAAAGGGCCATTACCCTCCAGATTCATGAGCCTCCTAACAAAACTAAACTCTTCGCGGCCCAGGGCTCGGACCAAGATGGAAGACGCCATCGTCAAGGTCTTTTGAGCCGTCTCCTCAGGGTTCAGAGTGCATAGTTTAGGCTTGGACTTGGTTGAATTCGGCCTTCGGATGTAGAGCTAGTACAGCTAGAAGGCATCCGAGATTGCAACAATTCACAGTGCAAGTTCTGTTGAAAACGAGAAGTCTGGAGCCGTGAACTTCCTGCCTGGGAAGGGGAGAACTTTAACGGTTCGGAGCTTAGTCAAGCCGTGGCTCCAGGAATTTTCAGGTTCTTGGCTTTCAGTGTTTAAGTGAGGCTTAGGTCGTAGTAGTCGTCGTCGTCGTCGTCGTCCTGTCTGCAACCATGATAATCTTGAGATCAGTCCGGTACTGCAAGCAGCACAAGAACCGCTATTGCAGTGGGAGCTTCATGCGACTCAAGATTACCAAACCTAAGCTCACAAAAAGATGGACAACTGGGCGTGACTCTCTCTCTCTCTCTCTCTCTGTCTATGTATATATATATATATATATGTGTGTGTGTGTGTATATGTCACACTCACATATCAAAGCTATGTGTGTGTGTATATGTATATATGTATGTATATAATGTGCTAAATACCTCTACCAGACGGCCCACCGCCGGGCCCCGGGCACAAGGCGGCTGCCAGCCGCAGCCCACAGCAACGGAGACCTCGGCCTCTGAGTTGAGCCTCGGAGAGCAGACATGGACACGACATGGTGGATGCACGCTCACGTGTGTTGTTATATCCATACAGGATATGGTATGTATATATATATATATATGTGTGTGTGTGTGTATGTATATGTATATATACATATATATGTATTGTGTGTATATATATATATATTGGTCACAACAGACCTCGCACTCATCCCCATTAAAACCCCGCTCACATTGGCGATTCCGGCCTTTTCCGCGGGTTCGGGATTCAGTGCTGGTCTGTATTCGTGTGGGACCAAACAATCAACAACACAAAGATCCAGCGAGAATGCCGGAACTGCTTTGGTTTTTGGAGTTTCTGGCTTGTTGTGGTTCTTTGTTGTTTTGGTCTTTCGGTTTTGGTGTTCCGACTACTATGAGTAATTGGCACCTTACAAGAAAATCCTGTGAAACCCCAAAACCAAAAAGCAAAACACATAAAACCCAGAACACCAACAAAAACAACAACCCCAAAACACAAACAGTGCCGGCAATATCTCTGGATCTTTTGTGTTTTGTTTTTTTGTGTTGTTGTTTGTTGGTCTCGTCCTTACTCTTTGGTGTTGTGCACCTGCACTCTTGCCGGAGATCCAAACCTTAAACCCTATACCAAAGCATCTATACAGTTCTGCTCAGGTTTGATCTACAAGTTATTGAAAACATCATGTCATTACATATTCTGGTGCCAGTAGTCGTTTCAGAACTAAATAGTTCATTCAGTTCTTGGTTGTGCGCACACATGCCCTCATGTGCAACCGAGATTACTAAGCCTCGCACATGAGTAACAACCGCAACAGATTTCGCGGAAGTATCAATCATCAACCATATAGTTAACATGAACCATATCCTTGTTTGTATAGTGTGATTCTTCCGTCGCTTTCTACCATTGAATTTACATCGGTCCATTACTTCACTACTTCATACGATCATATAAGCGGCATAGCTGTAATCTTAACACCATTACATTGAAATTGTAAATGTGCTTGTCAAAAGAACAGTAAACTTCGGAAATACAGTAGCAGCCAGTTCATGACCCACTACTATAACTGCAGGTATCGGTATGTGTACTGGAAATATAACCCTTATACATTTACAGCGTTCAATTTGTTTTGCAGCCATTGACCATTACTTAACATTTGTCCGTTACTTCACTGCTGCATACAATCGTATATGCAACGCCAGCCGTGTATTGCCAGAGAAATTCCGGTATAGCTGTCAACTTAGCAAGCTTACATTGAAATTGTAAGTGTATTTGTCAAAAGAACAATAAATTCGGCAATAGCAGTTATTTGTAGCCGCTCGTGACCCACTTTCATAACTGTAGGTATCGGTATGTGTACTGGAACTATGGTCGTCATACGCCCTACAAGCCAATCCAATCCCCACTTCCATTCTCAGTCATACCTACATTACGAATACACCCTGCTATGCACGAATTTCCGTATCAAGTGCAGTCGGTGTATTCTTAGTATTACATTTACCAATGCTAAAGTTACCATTACCAATATCCTTGTTCCTGTGGTTAGAGTTGCTGTTCTGCTTCCTTCAATATTACTAGCCCAGAGAACATTATGTACCTCTTCATTTCTTACTTGTTACAAACTACATTTTGTGGGTGAATCACCCCTGTGCGCTTAGCTCTGGGTAACCGGTGCATTGGTCAACAGATGGTGTTCACATGATTTCAAGCCAACCAAACGTTGTCAGGTACATGTATCAGTTGTTGGGTCCTGTGTTTATTCAGCTTCTGGTTAGTATGTAGTTCGCAAGTCTTAGTCCCTGAATATTCATACCTGTGCTTTAATAGAACGATGCGCTAGACCGCTAATACAGTGAAGCTGGAGGCTTGGTATTGTTGAGAAGAACAATATGTCAACATGTGGCTGCCCGCTACATTGTTTATTCAGCAAGCCGGTTCTTGACATCTTGTGCCTATACCAACAAACCTTTACATGCTGGTTCTGAGTTTAGTTCGTCTGAAGTCTGTGCATGAGTTACAGGATGTCACGTCCATTCTTTCGTTTGTCGAACAAACCACTGAAAATGACGCCTAGCAAATAATGACCATTAAACAATCATGTATGCGACAATTGTGTTGTGAGCTTCTCATATCTTATTGATCAGAGGTCTGTAACATCTTCATGCAGGGATTACTGATTAATATCTATGTTTGTGCAGGACACACGGGGCAAGTTCATCACACAATCTTTGGCACTGCTCGTGTAAAGACTTGCCGAATGGATGGTTGAATTCTCCATTGAGGTTAAGTGCAAGCTGCGGGTCTTAAACAAGCCAAGGTTGAATAAACTCTTGGCGCAACGATAGGCTCGACACGTAAATTTAAACTTCCAACCTAATGAGAGTACCCTTATATAATATAATATTTGATATATATATATATATACATATATGTATACACGCATATGCACACACACGCATGTATGTATGTGTGTACTTTCGCATGCACATGCCATGCACTTCAACACAATCTTCAGCCCCTCCCGAGTTGACATGTGAAGACAATCTCAATGAGATGGCCACTTGCCTGTGAGGCTCCGGTTCAATGTCGACGGATATGCCGGATTGCATCCACGATCAGAAGCTTGGATGCATCAAGAACTAGTGGCTTGTTGCGACCCATCCAGCGATCGTAGTCGGCACACTACCGATAACAATGACTTCCTGGGCCAATCCAGCAGCCGCCATGGTACACACTCCAACGAGAGCTCTTTCTCGGATGGCACATTTGACAGCCTGCACCGCCATGGTAATGGCCAACCTTTGACTGTTTGACACCGCATTGTGTCCAGTGTGGATGACGTTGGATCATCTGACGACTTCAGATGCAAGAGAGAACGCGCCGCCACACATGCTGAAAGCTCCCAACGCCGCCGTGAACTGGCTATCGTCCGGATGCTTGAGATACCGAGGCAACTCGACATTGCGAAGAGCCGCTTCCAAGAGATCGGAGAGGGGCTCGATGAAGCCGGGCTTCCGCTTTGGCCGTCTTGGATTCCGGATCAAGGGACCGATTCCAAGGATTCGCCAATCCTGGGCGGAAAGCAACTGAACCAAACGGAATGTTCCAGATCTGTAGATGTCCTGTAATTGCACTAATCAGCATTCTTCGGAGGGGGGCTCACACTAAAATCAGAGCCTGCAGATTTCTTTACAAGTACCTCCTGATGTGGCTTCCGTATGAGTCAGCTCATGCTCGAATTTCCTATTCAGGTCTGCTGCCTGCAAGCTTACGAAGCAAGATCTTTATGTTTAGCTTAGCTGCTAGCTGACAGGACAAGTGCACCTGAAACATTTTTACACATTGCGGCGGCTCTTGTTGCTTTCGTGCAGCGTGTGCTGACTTCAGCCAGTCACGCATACGTCATAAGGCTGTCTCTGCCAGCCCAAGTTGAGAAGGCACCGGCATCCAATTTCCCGAAATGGCAGAGCAGGGTGGGAGATGTGATGAGTCTGGTGAGTTTGCTTTGTTAGGAAGCCTGGGCGACCCTAAAACCTCCGATCCAGCACACCCGAACATGAACATCTCAGATTTCCATAAAATCACTGACATGACGATTACACAGCTCGTGAGCTTGCAAATGGTGCAGAACCCGGCTGCGGGGCAGGAGGTGATTAGTGACCTGTGCGGGGAATACACGTCGACCTCAACAAGATATACTAAATTTTATTCCACGGTCCGGGCTCATTGGTGCCGGATGTCCGACTCTACTTCAATGTAAATGTCAAAGCAGTGGTGCCGCTACAATCCTTTCTTTACACACCTATAACGTCACGTTGACATGGCTCTGCTTGAAGTTCCTCGAGAAACATGCATACCCAAACGTCCGTAACCGCATCGAGGGACCCAGTTCGCACAAGCTGGGCGGCGCTCTACCTCTGCCAAGCTCAGTCGCAAACGAGCCTCTGGTCCCCCACACTGGATCTCCAAAGTATCATCGCTTTAATCGTACACACATGTGTGCACTAACCTCGGCTGCTTATTGGCTCCCAATCCCAAAGAGAGTAGGTCAGTTGTTCTGCTTCAGTTGCTTCACTTGCGCACATTCAAGCAACAAGTGCATTGGTAGCTACAGAGTTTGGTCTCATTCTTGCGGTTCTGGTGGGTTCCAACACACTTCTATTTAAGCGGTCCCTGACATATCCTTGTGGGGTGGGTGTGAACATCTGGATTGGGCGTCTACCGACTGCACCGATATTTTCAATCTCTCACAGCTTGCAGGGGTGGAACATCTTGGGAGATACCATTGATGGTTTTAAGCACCTTCGAATTGACATCTCAATTACGTACAGTACGGGTACAGCCCAAAAGGCCTGTAGGTCCTGGGGAGAAACAGTGAGGTCTTTCTCTGGCCCCCCCCAGCCGGCAGGTGCTTGTTCTGTGCGCCGGATGCTTGTAGGCCCTAAACGCACAGGCGGCTAAACCAGCTCAGGGCACTTCATCTGAAATGCCGGAACGCCTGCGAAGACTGGGAGTGTGGTCGTATGGTGGCCGCGCACCACAGGTTGCAAATCATGAGTCGGATCGAGGAAGCGTCCACTTTGCAATCCACACGTCATCCGTGCATAGAGACGATAAGGATACTATAACGACCCGAACAGCCATGATCAGATTTGATTAGGCATTTCTGAATCCAGCATGCCAAATCCCACCCCAGGGCAAATCCAAAAGCCTGACAGCGATGACATCAGTTGACAAAGTACACCGCACTCTCTGCACCTATTGCTGTTGAACTCTTGCAAAGTTTACTGTACTGCGCACTATCCGCACGTTCCCTTGGTGTTGAACAGTAGCAAAGCCAATGTCTCGGCCAGTCGCCACAAACCGCATCCAATTTGGGCTTAATTATATGGGCATCTGAGAAGTGTGTTTAGTCTTTGGTCAGCCTTGAGGGCGCTAAACCAGCATCCCCCTTCCTATAGGATTTATGCCATTGTCCATGCAAGGTCACAGCGAAAAACCTGATGGCTCAGAGCCCCGCGGTTTTGAACTCTACTATACGGGTAGTTCTCTAAATGAGGGTCCCTTTTTAGGTCCCCAAATAGGTCCCCAATATAGTACTCGGCACCCCTATAAAAAAGGACCCTAAAATAAAGGGACCCTAGTTTGGAAACTAACCCAAACCCTGAAACCCTTACAGATCCCTTAAAGGCACCCCCGAGGGAACACTTATAAAGGGACCCTAATTTAGACACCGACCCATACGCTAACAGTCCTATAATGCAATGGACACTTCTGCTAGGTGCCAAGGACGGTACTCCGCAGGCTCAGCCGGGAGAAAGGGATTTAGGGGTTATAGGGTTTAGGGTTTTAGGGTTTAGGGGTTTACCAGCACCCCACAAGTAGCCTTTAATGGAGCCCTTGTGGTCCCTAATATGGGTATTTGGGGTTTATTAGAGGGTAGTTGGGGGGTGCTGGTAGGGTTTAGGGTTCAGGACTTAGGGTTTAGGGTTTAGGGAAAGCGTCAGAGCAGCTGGGGGGCACGAGGTTTGCAGCTGACATTTCCCTTGGGCTCTGGGTTACGAGCTCTCTGGTGTAGGGTTTATTTAGGGTTTTTTTTGCCTCCTACTTAGCAAGGACGAGCCCGCATTGCAGGGTTCAGGATTCAGGATTTTAGTTGAGAGTTCATAGGCTTTAGGACTCTGGTCCTGCTCCAAGGTTTGTTCGCGTGCCTGCGAAGTACGGTCGCTGGCAATGGGAAGAGTTCTTCGGCAAAGGATACCCTTTGCCTTGTGGAGGCCCAACCACGCTGGCCGCTAAATCGTTGAAACCGTTTGAAACCCTATAAACCCTAAAAAATATAAATCCTAAACCGTAACCCGAAACCCTAAACCCTAAAGATAAACCCAATTCCGAAACCCTAAAAACTAAACCCTAAGCACCAAACCGCCAAGGTCCCGTGAAAGTCCTTTCGACCCACAACACCAGAACCCTAAGCCACGTCCCAAAGCCCACGGTACCGACAATGAAGAAGAACTCCGAAGCTTGATTGTTCCAAAGCGCCGTCTCAACAACCATATAGGAGTTTCCGAAAATAGGGGACCCTGATATACTACCCTAAATAATAGGATCCTTTTATAAGGACCCCAAAATAAGGTATCCCAAATTTTTGGAAAGTCCCATAGAACAAACAGCCCTGCTGATGTTGGACGTTGGGCTGGGTTTAGGGTTTAGGGTTTAGGGTTTAGGGTTTAGGGTGGATGATTCAAACCACGTAGCTTGGGCGATTGTGATACTGGCTTCAAGCATAGATGGAAGCGTATGCCCATGCACAAGGCAAAAAGGAACCAAGAATTTCAACTCGATGGTCCATAAGCGTCGCACGCGGAATAATATCAGATGGATGCTGCGGTAACTGCAAATGCACGCCTCGCTCGACCCACTGCAGCAGGAAACTGCCACGGTGCAGCTACAATATATGTCCAGAACCTCGTGCTGCATGGGCTTATGGGCTCAACACTCCCTACCAGCTTCAGAGGCTGACGACTACCGGTTCTGGATCTGGAATTTTCCGAAGGAGGGGAGCATCAGCTGCGGCTAAAGCTAGGCTACATGCTTCGCCGGAGGTTATAGCTACACACCGCAGAAGCGCTAGATTCCAACCATCTGCAGCGTTTTGGGGTTCTGCACAGAGATACAGGCTAATGATTGCATGCCAAAGCCAACGAAGAAGACGCATCTCTCTGCATTTGCTTTGTGTGAAGTGCTCACGTACACGTAGCTCGTAGCTCTTTGTGATAACACATGCACATGCAGAAATCAATCGGAAACACAAAAACATAGCAATAATTATCTCTCTCTACTCCCATAGCAGTCGAGCGGGACAGTGGCAGTCCATTCCGGTATAATAGGTGCTGATCTTTCAGATCTGTTGCATGTTTCGTCGGTGTGGAAAAGCATGTCTCGGCACCAGCGCGATGTTGGCGACTGTAGCATGCTGTACTTAGCGCATTCTTCCAGAAAGCGGTCAACTCTGCTTCATATTTCAGGACCCCAAATCCTATTTTAGCCTTTACAACGGAAGAAAACTGAAAGTTATTGCTTAAAGGTTGCCTTGCAAGCACCTGCCTTAACAGCGCGCATTCAGACCTGAAAGAAGTTCAACAAACCCGTGGCCGGCATAGGCAAGACCCGCACAAGGGTTAAGCGTGACATTGTTTGCAGTGGTTAGGGGGTTTTGTTGCGGAGGCACCTCGATATACCTCGATTTAGGGTCTTCAATGCCCCAGTGGGGCTTTCGCGGGGTTCAGGAACCTTGACCTCGGAAGTAAACAGTACTGGGACAGCAAGGGACGCAGTCCACACACGAACTTTGCCAAAATTCAGTGACGGGGCTCTTATGGCATGCAAGACCAATGTATGACATATCGCATGATGGAGTAGCATGCAATCCGCGACGTCACAATATATACAACATGGTCTAATCAGTGTAATACTGTGGAGTGTGGCTTGGCCGTGGAGACATGCTGAGGTGCAGGTGCTTCGAGTGATCCGGCTGCAGCCCGGCTGTCAGAAGTGCCTCCGCGGCGCTCAGGCTCAGGCTTAGGCTTTCGGGTTTTAGACTTGCGGTCATGTTCGCTTCGGTTTCAACGGGCTTCAGATATGATGTGAGCTCGAAACTGCTCTGGAGAGGTGGTCAAGATGTAGACGCCGCACACAGTAAGGCTCCACCGCTCTGATAGACGAATCAACTTCATTAGTCAATGTGGGCTCTCCGACCCCAAGCCACTACCAACCAAAGCTGTCAGGACGTTGACCCAGTGCGCATGTCACTGGCCGTGCACAGTCCGGAAACCCACCGAGGCAGCTGCGAGAAGTGAAGATGCGAGTCTGACCTCTGCACTTGCGGAACGCGCATGGCCTGACAAAAGCACTTCAGTTTAGGCTTTAGTAAACCAGGGACCGCAGTTCGGGGGGTTCTTTCTGCTTCTATGGCATGGAAAACTCGGAGATCCCGGTGTCGACTCTCGCGCTCGGCAGTTTGCGAGTAAAAAAACACAACGGCACACCTAAAAAAAAACAAAATAGCTGC